TCCTTAAAATTTCAGCAAATGATACAATCTTAAATTACCTACCTTAGCCATGGTGATAGTATTTGTAGCGGCATTGAGATGGACGAACACAGACAGGAGGATGGCAATGCGTATCATAGGGATCATCATCGTGTCCTCGCCTGGTGGTACGTCCTCGAGGGTCGAAGGACCGAAGCCACTGGTCCAACACGCACGTACACGCACGCCACTCACACGCACTCACTGTTCCTGGCACATGGCATCCTCCTTTTCATGATCTCTCTCCTTCTCTTCTTCCCTTGCCGTTTCTTTTCTTCCAAATGCTTTCACGATCTTGTAGGCTGCCTTTTCGTCACTTTCTTTTCCCAAGTTACCGTAGACCCTCGGTTCCCTTTCAAAGAACCGTGACGGGGGTAAGTTGCATGCAGACCAAGACCTCCACGAAAGGACGCAAATGTATGTCCAGCCGTGGCAACTGCCGCCGAGCAACTGGCACTTGCTTGCCTGCTGGAGCAGCCTGTCTCGGCCCGATGGCAGACTCCCCGTTGCAGTCCTGTGTTACGCTCCTCTTCGTCGCTATCGGAGAATTTCGATGGTTAAAAAATGACGAGGATTTCGTGCCTCAGCTTCAATGCCTGCTGGCTGTTTCAAGGAATCACAGAATCGCTCGTTGCAATGATTATAGTTTGTTTGGTTTCCAGATTGTCTTCTTGTAATTGTATTTGGATTATCTTTCAAAAAAGTAAACTCTATTGAAGATTACATCAACAAAATTTATGGACTATAAAAGAGTTTGATATACCTTTATAATGTATCTTTTGAAACAAGCTGCAACGATATTGCTGTAAACACTAAATTACGCTCTCCCAATTTCTTTGAATAACACGCTATAGATATATTCTCGTAAAAATTTTTAACGAGATACGTTGAAGAATTTCTATCCACGTGAAACATTATATAGTAGAATGATATTTTAGAAGTTTGCTTTTTAGTTGTTTTATGTATTTTAGTTATTTTTAACAATAATCAAAGTTAATTTACCTATTCTTCAATCCCACGTATTTCAACAATTTCAAAAATCATGTATGCAACATTTATTTTTATCTTGCTTCCTTATCACATCTTGATTTCAGCAGCAGCTCTTCCTATCGGTACTCGATGTCCTTCTCGACACTGCTCTACCGTCTGAGACAGATAACAGCAAAAATAAACCAATTTTATATGGTGCCTCGTTTACAATATAATCAACCACGCGATATGCATACAGATCCGGTAAGAATCGGAATTACTTATCTATAGAACGATCGCCTATTGAAAGAAAGTTTCAATTTCCTTGCAAAAGCAATTTCCCCTGACATAGGAAGCAATGTACTGTAATATGATACATCCAACCACGTTATGTATTCTAGCCGACACGAATAAAGCAATTTCGACGTTCATTTCGCTTTCTTCATCGAGCGATATACACTCCTAGGTAGTTCCGTGCGATCGAAGATTCATGAGCCATCGAGAATTCGAAACCGATTCAGAACTGGTTGTTTGGTCGATGGAATGTAGCTTTTAACAGCAACCGACCGGCTGGCAGTAGGGTGTGAGAGGGTGCAGGCGGATCGTACGGGCGTTTAGAAGCGGACGCACACCTGTGGCCATCCACGTTCCTCATTAAATTTCAATCGGAGATCTAATTTATTCCTTTCGTATCCGTAGTTCGCGCTTTCATCATCCTTTAACCGATTATTCTTCTCAAGTTCCGCAAGGAACATCTAGAATCAGATGCTGATAAATCAAATACCATCGTATTTCACCCAAGTACTTAATGTTCATACCTATATAAAGTAGGATTTACGAGACAAGGTTTACTTTAGAATTAAAAAGAAAATACAATTCTGAGTAAAGAAATTTTAGTGAATAATCATTAGTGATAATGTAAATAATTTAGTAATTTTATGAGCCCCATTTATTTTATACATTTATGTGCCCAATTCTAAAATAATAGAAGAGCCTCCATTCTTGGAGACACCTATTATAATAATATTGCTACGTATCGAGACGATTCTGTTATGAAAACCATGAATACGTAATTTATATAGTTACCATTTGTGATTTGCAACGCAGAATGCACGCAAATACAATATTTCACTTCACGCTCGTAGACACGACATAAAATTAGATATAGGGTAGACCGTGAGATTAAATTCTGTCAGATTTAAAACCGACCGTATGCCAGTCGTTCCATCAATAATTCCTAACGTTGTCGCGTGCAAGCAATATCTATCTTCGAGACACCTGCTCAAGACAAGCAAACACAATGGTGGTTAATCGGCCAGAACGATCGAACTCTTCGATTGAACTCGTTCTTCTAGTAGGCGTAGCGAGCGAGATAATAACTCGCTATTGCTCGACTACCTACGTACCCGTGGGTGTAATTCACTCGTAGGGTTCGCCATTAACCGCCTTTAAACAACTTTACTAGCTGCTTCATGTTGTATTTACTTTCCTCTTCTTGAGAAATAAGAGGTAAGAAACGTCCATGTTGTTTTATTTCTTTACCCTTAACAGTTGTTAAAGCTCCTTCTTATCGTTATTTTATTAATTGCATACTGATATCTCAGCTATTATTATAGTGGTTGTGGCAGCGTAAATAATTACCTGAAGCAATAATAATAAAAACAAGTTACAATAATGAAATAAATTAGAACTTTATTTTTGTAAACAAAACTAAGTTTTATTTCAAGAAGAAAGTAATTGTTAAGTTTATGGATGAATTCAGAGTGGTTGTTGGTATTCGAATGCACTCGGTCCAGCAGAGAAAGTGGCGACGATCGTGAGTGCAATTATACCGCAATGTCTCAGGTAACTGGGGAGACAAAAATCTTTCTATATTTACAATCTACTTTTGAAGCATAATTTCAAACATAAATAATTAAAAATAAAAAGAATATCCATTTTTTAAACGGAATTTCACAAAATCAATTCTTCTTGTCAAATGAATGAAATCTTAAAGGTTTTTAATACCAGTGTTTAAAATTATACAAATTTTAGAAAAATATTTCAGTTATCTTAAAGCTGAAAAATGTTCTTAAAAACCTCTTGAAAATTTTTTCATTTGAATATGTAAATTTATAATCTGGCACCATATTTATATTTCTCTTTTCCATTTTCAAAACTTTTAGTTGAGAAAGTGAAGAATGAAGTTCAACAAATAATTTTAATCTTCCATATTTATGGATTTTATGTGCTCCAACCGGAGACGTTCAACTAAAGCAACAAGCCAGTCGTTAACAGTCCCAAACGATTTCAGAGGGATTTTACTTTCCTCGCTGGAATTCCAAGCGGTCGCGAATTCTGAAATCGGCGAAGTGATTGCGTCCCTGTTCTTCGTGCACGAAGGGACTTAACAGGCTGCTCGTTGGCCAAGCCGCCGTCGGTTGGACAGCAACTCACTCGTCGTCCACTCCGGCACACCTGTTCACTCAGGTATGCGATCTTCCCTCTCGCTTTTTCTCCCTCTCTTTTTCCCACCTTTCTTCCTCTCCCTCTTTCTTCCCATGTTCGTCCCTTGCCCGCCGTTCTTTTGTCTCTTTCTTGCTCTTCATCACGACAACAGAACGGCGGTGGTTTACCGTTGTCTTGCTGATCCTGAACCCACAGAGAGCCGGTCCATTCGCGACGTGTAAACTTTTGCTAGTATAAGTCACCCTGCAATTTTCTGCTCCATAATTATCTGCACCTTTCTCTCCCTCTTTTTTCCTTTCTTTCCATATAAACGTGTACGTAGCATCATGTTCGATCGACCTGTAATTGATTAATTTAGTTAGACTCTGGCTACAATTTGATCTCTATTTGTTCAATGATATTAGTGTATCTCCTTATCCGTGTACATCGACTACTTCGAAAAAAATGTGTCTTTCTTTTGGCGTTTTCCTGTTCATGGTAAGTTTACGGTGTCTCCAAGTTTCCATTTATTACCTGGTTGTGAGAAGCCAATGGCTGGTCCGTAGTCCTGTCAGTTTCAGATTGTTTCGGACCGATTGGAACAAGTGGTCGGTTCAGTCTATATGAGGGCTCTTCCCGAGACTCGGCTCTCGACCCGGTCGAGCAGAAGAACCAGACAATAGGACGCCAACATCCGAGCCCCCTGTGCACTTGTCTTTTTTCACCGGGTTACCGTCGTTTGTTATGGCGTTTCTATACCTTGAGAATAATGCCGACAGAAAAATCGTCCGTCAAGCCTTAATTGGATCCGATTAATACTTGTTCCTCTTTGTAACAATAAAGTTTCTTGTATCGATGACAGTGTTGGTGAAATGATGATGATGTGTTTATTAAAATGCAAAGATGCGAATGTAGAAGTTAGTTTAATAGACGGGTTTTAAGAGCAGAATGGCGCTGGTTATGGCATTATGAGTCGACTATGCAAATGTAATTCGCCGTTGAAGCTCTTCGAGTCTAATTTGCCGCAGGTATACAGAAATGGCATGAGCCGTTGCTTGCAAGCGATCTTGGAGTTTCAACGTATTTCAAGGACACGGTGTTAGATTTTTAGAGTGTCGCATGAACGAAGATTGGTATATACGTTCCAAGGAATTTAACTACCGACTTTATTGCCTTGTTGCAACATTTAATTTATAGATCTGATATAATATTATCGAAGTATCCTTCTAGCATTATATTCTATAATACTATTAAATATATAACAAATAATATATATATATATAAAATTTGAAATTATATTACAATAAAACATTGATTATTTGAATTAATTAAACAATTCCTATAAATCAATAATACTATATTAGTCCCTCATTGCACAAACTCTTCGTATAAAAAGAAATGTAAATGAAATATGAAACATAACAAATCATAATACAAATCAAGTAATATAGAAGTACACGTGTTTCTTAACATACCATAATCAAAGTTCTATTGTAATATTATTTCTTCTATTGTATCACCTTCATTTGCATTTGAAATATACATTTTGAAATAATTCACTGTGATTAAAGGACAAATTTATAGGATCAATCCTGCATAGATTCGTATAGAACTTGCTTCAATACCCTCGTTCCATCTTCAAGTTTGCAGTATCTATAGGACGGACACTGTTCGGTAGGAGTCTCTTGTGAGTACTTTTGCAACAATATCGTATTACTCTCCTTTTCATTTATTACGTTCCAAATATTCACAAAATATATCGTGTATGTGCAAATATTGTTCATCCCAGACGAGGACCAGGCGCATACATATACCTGAAGTGAACACAAAAAAAATTTTTTTTTTTAACGATTCTCCTGTTTTTCCAATATATTTGCTTTTTTCCAAGAATACATTTATTCGAATCATGTCGCTACTTACGTTATACTTCAGAATTCGCGCACACGAATTCATGGTATCGAGAATCAGAGAACATGTTTTGGCGATGTGTATATCTTGCGTCATCTCGCTTTCTTTGTAACCAGTGACGTAGGTGTCGAAGTCATCAATCAGGAGTACAGAAGGTAAACTGGCGAAGGTGTGTAGTTCAACGAGCCGCTGTGCGAGTGCCTCGTAGTTCTTCAAGTACCTAAAGTATTGATTTCCTCATGATCGTTTTGCGTTCGATTTCATAATCTAGCGAATTCACCGTTGAACATATATAATGCAACCTTATTACATGGTGACTCGCAGTTTGTTCAAGCACTGCAAAATGTTAAGCATGTAGGTTTACTCTGTATGGATTTAGATAATGGAGATTTATCGATTTATTTTATGAAATTATATCAATTATATTTTATGGTTATATTATATATTATACGGTATTATATAACTGTGCTATTACATTTTACTGTTACTATGAATTTAAGTAAAGGAAATTAATCCCTGAATTTTACTCCGTATTTTAAGTCAATTACATTTTATAAATTATTATAATATTATTATATTATTATATTACAGTGCCCTGAAGAAATGATACTTTGTATCTTGTAATATAATAATTAATTATCGAAAAAAAATATTTGAAGCATTCGACTGGATACCAAAACCATCTAAACGCAAGTCTGATAAAACATTTACCAAATTTATTGGAGAATCGAAAATGATTGGTAACCATAAAATAAACTAACGACAAAGAGATCCCACGAGCAATATACCTAAGTAAATTGATGCGATAATAAACGTAAAATAGTGTTTCATTTATTGCCTCTATATAAACCTGTTTCAAAATCAATAAACTTCGTTTCGAAAAGTGAAAGCATTATTGTACTAATAAATGTAACGTATAATCACACAATCTTTGTAAATCTATATAAACAAATAAAAAATGTATTAAAAAAGAATTCATGACTAATCGTATCTTTTTCAATTTAAAAAATTTAAATTACTAGTCATTTCGCAATTAAGCATTATACATGACACATGTATCTTCTTATTATATTACCTATGAATTAAAAATGTCGGCTTGTCATGTCAATATACATATGCATTTTACAACTGATTAATATCTCATTGTCTTCAGTATAAAATAAATTACAAAGTATGGGAAAAAACCAAAGCCTTGTAGGCAGGCACATTCAGAAAGAGGAATTTTCTTTATCCAGAAGCCACGTTCAACGAATCTTCAAGCGTGGACAGACGAAATCTCAGCTTTGAAAAATAAACCGTAGAAGAAGGAAGCAACTGATTTGCGACGACCCGCATTTGATCGTTTATTTTACTTTTGCTTCTGGTGCCACGATGAATCGCGTATAAAAATTTCGAACTTCGTTGTTTACCCAGTATTCTAGCCAAAAGAATAAACCTTTCCAAACTGACTCGTTTTATCTACAAAGTATTAGCTTAATTTGTAAAAAATGAGGATGATATTGTACATAGAAACATCAATAACTTTTTGTCCGTAATTTTGTATATTATTTGATATGATTAACTGAAACATAATTAAAAAATAAGAAAGATATTTCCTTTTTAAAAATTTCTTATTACATTATTTTTTAATATATATTTTAATTTATTATGTTTAAATAAGTTGCTTAATTTGTAAAAGGGAATCACTTCAATTACATAATTGGAAAAAAGACTGATAAAGAATGGAGTATCTGTTCATACTGCGTAATTATTTTTGAAACGTAACTTTCTATATTATAGGCTGCTTATATGTAATATGAATTTATTAGTTCATAAAGCTTTTTTAAATATTCGTTAAATAATAAAGTGTAAAAGCAATTACTTATGTGTACGTACGTGAACACATTCTTTCTTAATTATTTCTGAAGATTTCAATTTGTTTTGTTATTTTCGTGTTACTTTGTATTTGTAAATTGTAACGATAATCTTGAGTAAATTTATTCAAGATTTATTCAACGATGAATCAAAGTTCTTTGTGCTGTAATATACTGCGTACTTCATTGCAGTTCACTACAGTCAAGTAACATTCTTTGCGTGATCTATGTGCGTTTAACACAACCTCTTCTGAAAATACGATCGCTTGTAAACAACGCATATGTTTATGCACGTAGAATGTCAATACCTGTCGCGTGTGACGTGTAAAGTAACTAATGTTCCTTGATCGATCGCTTCCGGTACGTTAAACAAACTTCTTGAATTCAAAACCGTTCTACATATTATTATTCTATGGCGCAACATTATGGCGTTTCACAATAATTTGATCAATTAATACCTATAAAATATTAAATATGTAAATGACTTTAAATTATTGATAGATCTCAAAGAAAAAAAAAATAATACTACCGATTTTCTTTTCAAAATTA